AAGGACTTTGATACTTGTGTAATTCATAGAGTGCCCTGTTGTGTTAACATGATGCTAGAGCGCATCTTGCAGGATGAAGCCTAGAATCACTTTTGTGTGATGTAATCCTTCCCTTAAGAGATCTGGAGGTCTGACCTATGTATATTTGGTTGCAGTTGTTGCAATTGATGGAGTAGACTGTGTTGGTTAAGCCAAGCAGCGGGATTCTGTTTTTCATTTTTGAAAAAATGCAGTTTATAGCAAGGACGGATTTGCAAGCAATTCGAAAGTTGAAAGGACTGCACAATCTGATCGGTTTAGGGGTCAGTTCCTTGATATAGGGCAGGACAGCAAAACCAGGTCTGGAGTGCGGGTTGGTGCTTGTACTGTTTGAATTCATGCTGTTGTTGGAAATTCCATCAGTTCCGTTATTAGGGGTTGTGCGACTATTACCTGCATCACCAGAGTTCGGCAAAATTTTGGAAGGTGAACTAAATAAGATCTTGTTAATCAGACACTTCGGATAACCATTATTGATGAACAGTTTTGATAGTTTACGTAAATTTGAGGTGTGGAAAGTATTATCTGAGATGCTGATTACCCTTGTTTTCACCTGTTTTACCAAGTTGATTTTAATCCCTAGCTTATGGTATGACCTAAAATTGAGAAACCCACCTGAGGCCATAGGTTTCTGGTACCAGTCTACCAGTAAACTATTGTTGTTGGTGCGGATGAGTCTTGTGTCTAGAAAGGGGACAGACAGGTTCTCATCTTCTTTTTCAATGGTAAATTGGATGTAGGGGTCATAGCTGTTGAATTCTCTGACAATACCATCCAGACCTATGGAGGGGAGGCATAAAATAATGTCATCTACGTATTTTTTTAAGAAGAAGAGGTTATAGGGTAGTGTCGGAATAACAGTATCAAGCACATCATCCCTGACATATTCTGCCAAAATTGGTGATAGAACAGATCCCATAGGACAACCATGTGTTTGAGAATATATTTGGTTGTTGAAAGAGAAATAATTGTTATGAAAGAGGAATGTTATAATGTTGGTGAACGATTCTAGAGATATGTTGCAGTGTTGACTTATCCCATTCCAGTGTTTATTTATAGTTCTTGTACATGCATCCAGATAGATTTTGCTGAATAGCGACACCACATCAAGACTGGCGATAATGTGATCGGCTGGTATTGGCATTCACAAACCTGTACTCTCAGTAAGACCTATAGTTGCATCAATAGGTTCAGCCACCCAGGCTTTGTCTTCATTAATATCGGCAACACTAAAATCAGCACATGCAGATAATGATTACTGCATCAAAGACTCATTTGAAGTCTCTCGTTAGTTCAACAGATTGCCAATACCAGCCGATCACATTATCGCCAGTCTTGATGTGGTGTCGCTATTCAGCAATATCTATCTGGATGCATGTACAAGAACTATAAATAAACACTGGAATGAGATAAGTCAACACTGCAACATATCTCTAGAATCGTTCACCAACATTATAACATTCCTTTTTCATAACAATTATTTCTCTTTCAACAACAAAATATATTCTCAAACACATGGTTGTCCTATGGGATCTGTTCTATCACCAATTTTGGCAGAATATGTCATGGATGATCTGCTTGATACTGTTATTCCGACACTACCCTATAACTTCTTCATAAAAAATACGTAGATTATTTTATGCCTCCCCTCCATAGGTCTGGATGGTATTGTCAGAGAATTCAACAGCTATGACCCCTACATCCAATTTACCATTGAAAAAGAAGATGAGAACCTGTCTGTCCCCTTTCTAGACACAAGACTCATCCGCACCAACAACAATAGTTTATTGGTAGACTGGTACCAGAAACCTATGGCCTCAGGTCGGTTTCTCAATTTTAGGTCATACCATAAGCTAGGGATTAAAATCAATTTGGTAAAACAGATGAAAACAAGGGTAATCAGCATCTCAGATAATACCTTCCACACCTCAAATTTATCAATAATGGTTATTAGAAGTGTCTGATTAACAGGATCTTATCTAGTTCACCTTCCAATGTTTTGCCGAACTCTGGTGATGCAGGTAATAGTCGCACAACCCCTAATAACGGAACTGATGTAATTCCCAATAATAACATCAATCCAAACAGTACAAGCACCAACCCGGACTCCAGACCTGGTTTTGCTGTCCTGCCCTATATCAAGGAACTGACCCCTAAACTGATCAGATTGTGCAGTCCTTTGAACTTTTGAATTGCTTGCAAATCCGTCCTCACTATAAACTGCATTTTTTCAAAAATGAAAGACAGAGTCCCGCTGCTTGGCTTAACCAACACAGTTTACTCCATCAATTGCAACAACTGCAACCAAATATACATAGGTCAGACCTCCAGATCTCTTAAAGGAAGGATTACATCACACAAAAGTGATTCTAGGCTTCATCCTGAAAGATGCGCTCTAGCATCTCATGTTAACACAACAGGGCACTCTATGAATTACACAAGTATCAAAGTCCTTGATAAAGAAAAACACCTATCTGAACGTTTATTCCTGGAAATGTCCCACATTTTCATGAATAACAACTGTATCAACAAAAAGACAGATGTTAAGCAACTGAGTGTCATTTACTCATATTTGCTAAACTGCGAAAAATTGGAGAACTTACATATCTCCCCAAATTTTGACTCTTCACAACCATAAATGGAATCTGTTTCTTGATCGATTCCACCAATAAACTTCATTCCACTCAAATTCTAATAATTTTCTCTTCACGATTTAATAATAATTGTTAATTTAATTTCCCATTAATTAAAATATAGTTAATTCAACTGCCTCTGGTCGGTTTAACAATTTCTTACATAACATTCTGAAAATCACATTATCTGAAGTGATTTGGCGACGTTGGCACACGCCCACAATTCGTTCCATCTTTCTACACAGACATTGACAACCTTCGGCCTTCTGTCAAAGGGTTCATCTCACTCATTATTCCATGAACACCATTTTGTGCAATCATCAAGTGGCTTCACGATGTAATGCTTTCATGTTTTTAAAAATAAAATTTTTTAATCTGTTTTTAACTTGTTCTTGTCACACAATTGTGTCTATTTTATATAATTTTGACCATTGTACCATCTATCCAGCTTTCACCATGTTACTGGACGTTTCCCTAATCCTAAACGTAAACAACAATTAGCAACATCCTCACATACTACTGTAAGTTAAGTCAATTTAAATTCATTTTACACTATTGTTGCTACTGTTATCATTGTAATTGCAGCTCCTGATGATGATGGCAAGGTCCATTGAAAGCTAGAGAGAATTAAAAGAAGTATAAAGAGTCCTCTTTGCTTAATTTTGTCGAAGTACCCAACAAAACGCGGAAGCTTTAATTTTTCACCTAACTGGTCTAGACGACAATGACCACGTCTCAAGTTATATATATATACTGAAACACTTTTGGCCAATACTTTGCATTAATATCGCGCACACTCAGAGGATGTGTATGGCAAAGTGTGGTACATATATCTTCAAATTACAAGACTAGACGGCAATTTAATTAACAGTCGACACTTTGATGCATTTTTAAAAATATACCCTTTCTTCTAAAATTCTCTGTCAGGTAAGTAATACACTATCCTCGTCAATAACGTGTGAGTGATTTATGTCATACCGATTTAGGAATTATGTCAGATTTGATAAACGATTAGGCTTCTCTCCGGTTGGCCAATTTTCGATGCCCTTTTACGAAAACGCTTTCTAATTAGTCATTGTTAATCCGGATCGTAGGTCTTGATCTTGAGACCAACTGAACAAATCTGTTTTTGTAGCTAGCCAGGTGATTTATAAAGAATTCCTAGGTTTAATTTTGGGATTAGAGGCCCTTCTCACACAAATCGTACGTTTTTTCGCTAGTTTGAGAGATAGTTTAGAAAAAATCGACTATATTCATTAGATGCATTACTAGAAAGATGCCTTCCCATTGGTCCATTTAGATCCAGATCAGTGTTATCTCCTGCTAGTAAAATCGGTCCTAAGGCTCGCTTAAAATTGCAAAGTCGGCTTTACAAACTGAGTACCATTAGGCGTCAACCTTGCACAGCATTTTCGACAAAGTTGTACAACAAAACTGATTTAGGAATAACATGACATTAATTACGGTTTCTGAAGCTTCAAAGCTGCCACAGTTAAGCCCCGCAGATAGCTTCACAAAAATGTAACCATTTCATCGATACTTTGCGGAAGAGATTCGTCATCTGTCTTTTCGATTTCTTTTGGAAAAACATTCTAGGCTCTAGAGAATCTGCAGGATTCAATTACAGTTTCGTAATCTCACGGGAACTTTGTTAAAAATTGTATTCCTCAAATTCTTGTGAAGCTTGAATCAATAATTCATTCAATAGCTGTAGTTGTAGCACTTCGCATCCCACCGACTCAGTTTTGCTTTACGAGGAAGGGAAATTAATTGTTGATCACCTCATTTTACTTATTTCTCAAATAAGACAAATATCACGAAACTCTTCGTTCATTCATTCGCATCGCATTCATACAGGCAATAAGCTTGATTAAGTATATATAATTGAACTATTTTAACTAAAAGCTCCAAGTACTGTATTTATTATATTCGTTGATTGATGAAAGTAACAAACATATATTTAGTACAAAATTGGGGCACTTTTTCAATTCAATCATAAGGCTCAGTGTTTTGTGAGTGAGCTTTTCGAATATCAATGAGATTCTAAACTTAAATGGAGCTACAGCACTTCATGGTCAATAAGAAAACTCTTCATAGTGGCCATTCTAGAATGATATATTGTGATACGGATTCTTAGATCCAACTTATAGTTTGACGATCGATTAACGTTCCGCTTTGACGGAATCAAAAAGATTTTTTTTCAATAAAAATTTCTTCTGCCGTAAAATGCTCGCTTATTTACCATATATTTAATATTATGAGCGAGACATGTTTTGAAAGACAAAAATTAAGAATCTTAGAGTTTCTGTTATTTACAGTCCTACTTACTTTCTGTAATCTCCATCCTTGCCCTTCGTTAATTTGATTTCGGAATGACGTGATTGGCAGATACCTGGTATCGATGTGAAAGAATGAACATTTAATAAAAGGAGCATGTTACTGATGAGTACCTAAGCTAAAGACGTTTACCATATTTAACTATGGAGGAAAGTTCAACATGAGGTGTGAAACAGTCAAGATAATTTCGATTATCAAGCATTGTTATGGAAAATCCTAAAACTCCTTTGATTTTGTATTCCAAAACTGGATCGTTTTGGCTCAGAGTGGCAGTAAATGACATGCATTTTATGCTATCTAATTGTCTATCTGACGTTGTTATATAAGAAACCAGTACAGTACCATATAGCTCTTGATTATGCTAAAATTGATACATGGATCGTAACTTTTACAATATGGTTCATGTGATATTCAACTGAAATCTTAACATTATGTCTTTCTCTTTGACACCTTTAGAATGGAGATCGAGGAAATTAGGATTATGATGATGACGATCGATCTAACCCTGTTTTTAGTCAAAAGCCTCGGTTCTATTTAGTAGTGTATAATGGACAAGTCAGGTGTCTCGAAGAAAGACGTAGTGAACTGGAAAGCATAACTATAGTCCACAATTTACGATTTTTCTTTATCTGGTTTAAATGTAACTTTATATAATTTACAGGGATGAATTTGATATTTTGTATTAAGTTACAATTGAACTGAGTGAAAGACAGCCTAAAGTTTTCAGTGGCGCTGTAGTTAGGCTCTCCAACTTCAAAGCTCTGATCGTCATGTGCACCAAATTTTGGGGGTTGTAGTTTTGGATGCTGTTACATATGGTGCTAAGTCACCTCTGTTTTTTTTCCTTTACGGGAGGTATGAGGGAATAACGGTATATCCTGGAAACACTGGGAACTCACCGTACGTTATTTACCTACCACTTCAGATCTCCATTTTTAAACAAGATAATGCCCGTCCACATATTGGACATATGTAAATATAATGGGAGAAGATTTATTAAATCCTCGACAAATGCTAGTTGCTCTTCCGAACCAAGTACAGCTATCTTGGAATCAGATATATTAAAATAGAGAAATAGAGAAATTAATCGTAACTCTCTTACGTCAAACTAAATACAGAATACCATTCAAACAAAAGTATTTTTGCTGGTTCTTCTATTTTTTTTGTCACTGATTATAGCTGGAGCTGACGTTTTATAACTAGAACGCATTCGATACGTGATCGTTATGACATATTTTGAGTTTTTATGGCGGTAGCAAATTTTCTCGGGGAGGTGGGAGAACAGAGAAGGTATGTTCTTGATGCAACTATATACCTTCAAATTCTTTCTATTTCTACTAGTAAAAATTCTTCCTCAACTTCATACAGGGTGTCCCAATATTTCGTGGGCACAGATGTACCACATATTTTTAGACTCAAATAAAGTATATTGTACATGATTTACCTTATGTAAAATTGCTTCGTTTGTCCGTTAGAGCGCGTCAACATTTTATTTTTGAAATATTTCATCATATATTTTTGGAACCGACAGTCCGATTTGAATGAAATTTCGAACACATTTGTTTTACTAGACGACCTAAATATTAATTTATCTTTAAGAAAAATCCAAAAGGTTGAAAACTACCCCCACCCCTATATAAATTAGAGCAGAATTTTTGGAAATCTCCCACCGACTCTGACTTTTTTCATTCAAAAGATCGTTTTATTTACCTCATTTTTGTTTATAAAAACAGGCTATCTCACATAGTTATGGTGGAAAAAAATGTATTTTGGAGCTAGCGTCTAAAAAATGTTCTTATTACATCAAGTGTCGAGACCTAGTAGGCATTTAGTTGGCAGAAATGTGAGATGTTATGCCAGTGTCAGATTAGAATGTGCAGGAACGAAAATTGTGGTTATTGAACACCTTTTATGTAAGATTCTAACTATTGTCAGTATTAAATAAAATTGTAATAAGTAATATCATACTTCTAAAAAATTCTGCTGTTCTTTTTTTGGGTTCAGGGGTAGTATTCACCCTTCTCGAACTCATTTGGGTTTTTTGTAAAAGTCAAATAACAGGACGCCTAGCAAGACACATGCATTCCAAATGTATTCAAATCGGGCTATTGGTTCCAAAATTATCCGAAAAAGTTGTTTTAAAAAGGAAACTTTTACGAGCTCTAACAAAAATGGAGCACTTTTGAATAGAAGTAAATCATGTCCAATCGACTCATTTTGAGTATAAAAATATGTGGTACTTCTATGTCCACTGAATATTGGGATACTTTGGGTACCTGTTGATACTCATATTTCTCCAAAATAGGTATTTATACGTAACTGGGCTTTATAACATTACCTGGGCCAATATGAAGATGCAGAGAATATTGACCTAATTGGATAGTAATAATCGTAATACAGACTTAAGGGTTTGTACACTCTATGCCTCCATAGTGGAGGTGTGGCGACTATCCTGTATTCTGTCCACTGTATTCTGTAGGGGTCTCTGAGGTAGGTCATTTTCTGGAATTGTTTTGATACCAATTGACAAAGGTTGACTTGCTCAATGTAAAAATGGCTGTACATATATACATTATACATAAGCAGGCTGTCCCTCGTTGAACTAGTTGTAATAAGTTGACATAAGACAGTTATGAAAATTTGGGTTTATATCATAGCTGATAACAGCGATTTTCAAAATGGTGTCACTCTCGGTCGTACCGGAAGTAGATACCATCTTGCTTATCTTAAATAGTACACTCTGTGTATTATTCAATTTTTCAATTCTACACGAAATTCCAAATACGTTCAATCTATATCATCGTCCAACCGTTTTTGGGATAACCCAAATTTTGCATGAGAATATCAGTAGAAGGGGCACTTCAGTGGATTTTATTCCGGATTTGGATAGCAAATAAAAAAATGAAATCAAAATCTCATTTTAAACAACCCAAAAAGATGACTTATCAAGTTGAATGTACCTCTTTACAATTTCATCGCGTTAAGCTAAAAGAAAATAACGTAAATCTTGTAAATATAAGGTTGTCTACTTCGCAAACTAGTAGCTTCCGATATATATGGAAATATTGGTATTTCTACTGGTTTTTCTATTGCTGTGTTGCTCTATACGGCTTTTTTTGATCACTTACTGTCAAATGAGGTTATCCTATGATAAAGCCTCATGGAGCATATGAGAAATAAAAAAAATATTTCCATGTATCTCAAAAACTACAAATTTACGAAGTAGACGACACCATACTGAATTAACCTTATTTTCAATGCCTGATACGATGAAACTTGCTTCCATTTAAAAATTAACCTTATAAGTTTTCTAAAATCTAATTTACATTACGTTTTAAGCACTGCGTACTATGCTTTTCCAAACTCGGAATACAATGTTCTAAAGCAAATACGAGAAATAATGTCAAAATTCATAAATGTATTTAGGATGGATCCAATGGATAATGTACATTTTAAATAAACATGCTTGTCTACTTCCGGTGCCACCATCTTGAGAATATTTTAGTCAAATTGCTTCCATCCAGTAAGCCCAAATTTTCTAACGCCGACTTATTAATCCATCATTGCTGTTCTGGGTGGGACACCCTGTATATTTCTTCAAAAACGTGCAGTGTGTAATACAAAATTATTGGTAAGGCTTTCATCAAGTTCAACCAAATAACTTTATCCAAAAATAGGGATTACTGTGTAAATTTCTTAACTGCGATTAAAAAAATGAAAACAATAAATTATTAATAAAAGCGAGCTTTGAGCGTGCTGTGATATGCTACTTTACAGGGAAGTAGGGTTCTTGAAGCAATAGCAGATTTTCCAAGTTCATGATTTTGATAAGCATTGTACTGTAAGAAGAAGCCCACTAATAACCTGTATTACATACTGTACATAACAACTGTCACATTTTGCGGGTGAAGAGAGGTGTAGATGCCAATCTATAAAATGATTGCTGACCAATTTTTATATACTGATTGAAGTAATCTAGGGCGGAATACTGCTAAAAACCAAAAATTACTTAGTTCCACAAGGGTGGTGCTAATATATAATTTTATTGGTACACAGGGATTGCTCATCATAGAGTGCTTTCAGATAAGTTTTTCAACCGATCAAGTCATAAAGCTGAACTTCGTGCATGAATACTATAACAAAATTATCATCGAACATGATACAATTGAACACTATCATAACAAGCGATATAAATTAATCGCAAAAGATATTCGCAAGTCGAGCAAATCTACAATGGAATGATCACACTGCGGTCTATCGAAACAAGAGAGCGCAAAGTACCACCTATCACACCAGAATCGACCATTGAGGAAAGCGAATAGCTGCCATTAGTTGAAACTGATAAGGATCTCAGTTCACGTACAATAGCCCAGTCACTACGTGACCGTTAGGTAGCTGACGATTATAGCTATATTCTTGTGTGAAGGTGGTAGTTGAAAATCTCCGGATGAGCGTCATTTCGAAGCATCTTTTAATAAAATAGGTAGTCGCGCAAAGACTCATTTCAAAGCTCTTTGAGGGTAGTTTATAACACAAGAATATGAGATCGCCATGTTTGAAAATGCGGGCTGTGAAAGTCAACAACCAATCATCAAAACGTTATAGTCTGTTCTTGTCTTGGAAGGGTCTATTAGAATATGTATCAAATCTACCAATTTTCTATCTGAGACAGGAAGATTCATACAGCATGTTATAAAATTTTGATGACTAGTTGTCGAGTTATAAGTGATGCAATAAACAAGTACTCTCAACTTTGACAGCTCCCCAGTCCGCCATTTTGAGCGAGAGTGATTTTATATTCTAGAGTTGTAAAATACTTATAAGGATCTTTGAAATAAGGTATCACAAGACCACTCATCCTATTTAAAAAAGCACAGCCGCCATTTTGAAAGTTTTAAATGGTATTTTTACGATAAAATATAGCATTCATGTGCCAATTCGGGCTTGCTAGTATGACCAATTCATAAAATAAGTAGGAAGGACCTTCCTGAAAAGCCTACGGATTCAGTTCCTCTCATATGAAATGATGAAATAACAAATGGAAATTAAGAGTTGGTGTCATGTGCCTCTCTAGTCAGTCATTCTCTTACTAGAACAATTGTTGAGAGCTGAAGTAACATGTTTGTTCGAGATGCACTGCTGCAGATACAATTTCCAAATAGACGTGCACGTGCGTCTCTGTAGATGTTTCAGTGGTGTCTTATTATCAGCATTATAAATTTCAGAACATATCCCAAGAAGCTTTTAAGGATACAAGATTAGTTATTGAAATGTATACGAATGGATAGTTTTTGCACTAACGCAGGCTACGTTATTTTTTATACTTAGGATATGGACTCATCCTTTAACGCTCCATAAGCAACGCCTTTAAACAAAAGCATTATTGCTAAAAGCAAGCGAAAAACGTTCTTAACAGTGTTACTATGACCGAGAGGTAAACAGATAAGTAATTGTAACAGCTCATTGCGAGTTAGAAAGACTAGAATCCATATACAGGGTAGTCGGAAATTCGACATATTCCTTGAAAAGCGTTATTTCAACAAAAGTCTTTGAGTGTTTGGGCTGACATGATAAATGGTATGGTAGTCATTGGAACTTTTATTTTCCCGAATCGGCTGGACGGTTTACAATACCTAAGCTTTCTACGGAGCATGTCACCAGCGGCGACAACTTCGCTCGTATAACTTTTCAGAGACGTACTTAAAGTTAGTCTGCAAATGAACGGTGAGTACTTTTTCATTTATTTTTTTTTTACATTTTCGCAATTGCTAAACCACACATCAGCTATGTTATTTCGAGCGTAATTGTTTCTGAAAAAGAAAGTCCCAACTTTCAGGACACCCTGTATTATAAGTACAAGTTCATTTAATTCAATCAAATCCTGCAGCCTGTTTACCCCTTGACAACAAAATCTTAATTCATTATCTATTATACCACCTTAGAATCAACCCCTTTGCAATACTTACTCCCTTCAGGTGATAAAACCTATCGGAAGGCAAGGTGTACTTATAGTACAGATACCTATAGTACGGGTAGCGTGGCCAGTAACTGGAGTATCTGTTCAGACTACTGATAGGCCAGTAGTAATCGTAGTAGAGGGTTAATGGCTTGTAGTACCGATAAGAGGTTGGATAGTATGCATAATCTACTGCCTTGATCGGGTAGGGGTAGTCGAGGTATATGCTTTTCTGGAAAGTATCGAGTGATTTCGTCAGTTTGCGGCGATTGTATTGATACAGCTTTGTTGGAAGCACCGAATTCTCCAGCTTTTTATGCCAAAAAATTAAATGCAGAAATGAAGGTGGCGGATCGAATGAGTGCATGAACACATTCCATTACACTCACCGAAGTAGTGTGTTGTCTTAAGATGCTCAAAGAAAGCTAATTCTGTTTTTCATCGTATTGTGCGGTGTTTCAAATTCGACCCTCACCACTGGGGTCTCGGAAATACAGGGTGGCACGGAGGAAACGCATGATTTTCACGTAAGCATAACATTTTTTATGTTTAAGATAAGTTTGTTTTAACTACAGCTAAATAAAGTAATAATATTGCACTTTTAAATTAATTATGGTAAATTATGTCACTCAAATGTCGCCCTTCTTCGCGCTCGCACATCTCCAACCGCTATTGAAAGTTGTGCATTACACGTAGGATAATCTCTTGTGGTATTCGTGCGAGTTCTTGCCGAATGGCAATTTTCAGTTCCTGTAACGTATGGGGTTTGTGAGGGTACACTTTAGCCTCAAGGTAACCTCACAAAAAGAAGTCACATGGAGACATATCTGGGAAGCGTGGAGACCAAGGAACATCGCCGAATCGGGAAATCATATGTTCAGGAAACATTTGTCGAACACATTCCATTGATGCTCCCGCCGTGTGAGCCGTGGCACCGTCTTGTTGGAAGTACAGTTCTTCCATGTTTACTTGTTGCCGTTGAAGTTCGGGTAACAAAAAATTTTGTAACATGTGAACATAACGTGCTGAAGTAAATGTTAATGATCTTTCTTCCTCCTCAAAAAAGTAAGTACCAATGATACCTAATTTACTAATTCCGCACCACACAGTCAATCTCTCACTATGCAAAGGTCGTTGGTGTCGCTCTCGTGGATTTTCAGCAGACCAATACCTTCAGTTCTGTTTGTTTATATATCCCGTTAAAATGGAAGTGTGCTTCGTCACTCATCATTATGACGACGTTAGGATCATCAGCAAAAATGGTCAACATTCTCGCACAAAACTGTCTACGCTGTGCAAAATCACTTTCCGTTAGCGCTTGCACAATCATTATCTTATAGGGATGAAATTGTAAATCGTACAGAATGCGTTGTAACGATCGACGGGACATACGCAGAGCTGGAGCTTGTCGCCTACTGGACCGTTGAGGACTAGCAAGCACCGCTCTTCTCACTATTTCCATATTGCCTGGTGTTCAAACGGTACGAGAAAGGCCAGGCGGCTTCCTCTTCATTACAGATCCAGTAGTTCGAAATGCCTCAACCCA